TTTCGGTGGACGTGAAGAGGTCTGACAAAAACCAAAATGGACCCTGAAAACGATTTAACGGGTCGAGTGTTGAGTCCTGCTAGAATTTGTTCTGACGTGAGACAATGAGGGCATCAATTATATACTTTTACCTCACATAAACCCCATCTTTTCCTGTTGGGTTGTAGAGTACTATGTCTGACGAATAAGAAGGCCATAACAACAAGCACCCCAAGTGGACCCCCAAGAACCCATTCGATGAAGATATGTGGGATACACAAAATGCACCCCAGATCCCTTCGTCATCCGTAGGATTGACAATCGGATAATTTTTGTCTCTCTCAGTAGTCTGCACCCAAACAAACCGAATCAAGCTCAATACCACTACCAGCAGGCATTTATTAACCCTTCCAAAATCTTTATTTTTAGGCAGTTGGAGCGACAGGCATGAACGGCAACGTAGACATGCATCGTCGCGCGCAAAGAGGTCAAATAGCAAGGCCGTCCTTCGATGGCTTCTTCAGAAGAAGTTGGATAACACCATGATGCTGTACCAAATTAGTTCAGAGCTAGACGCACAGTCCGAAGAGAGGGCTCGCTGCTCCATCTCTACACCTACTCCAGCGTCTGCGGGGCCCATGTTTAAACGCATGGCCACCCTACAAGAGTTGGACGTATTCAACTGTGCCCTGTCGGATGCCGCCTTTCGGCAGCAGGTGGCAGTGGAGAAACAATAAGCGCCTTTGGAGACCGCTTGTTCAGCGCTCTCTTCGGTGACGAAATAACACATATGTTAACGTTTTAGGGCGACAGCGGGGTAATGGGGCTTTTTACGACTCCACGGCCTACGCTCTAGTCTTTGGTACGACAGGCGTAATTTTATTAATCTACAATATGCCAAAATAGATGTGTCCGCTAGGTGGAATACCGATCACAAGTCTAATCGCCAATTAGAGAAAATTTTCCGGAGTTCATCCCGGAGGGCGTACAATCGCCTCCAGAAACGCGGCAACAGAGCATCTACATCGCATCCTGTGGACGGTTAGTAACCTCTTCATAACCAAACCCACTTCAATTTATATTTCTATGACATAAATTAAACTCATGACCATTTTCCTAAATTGGCGAAAATCCGATTATCATCCTATTGAATTTCAGACAAGACAGATGGGGACGGCAATACTCCTCGTCCTCGGCCTTCTGGTCCTTCATCACAGTCATAAAAACGCTTATATGTATATAAATGAGCACAATTTTCCTTTTTTACAAGACACTGCTATGAACCCAATTTTGCACAATTTGGCTATTTCTCCCGCAGCATGTTCATGAGCATTTCCAAATACTGCCTCTTTAAAAAGAGATTTACTAACCGACCACATGCTTCTTTGAGTACAATCTTACTGCTGCAAAACACCTAGACCTGCATTCTCGATAGGAAAACAAGGGGAAGGGAAGGAGCTCTCTCTCTCTATAGAGAGACTACTGAGAAAGCGAGTTCAGAATCATCGGCACCCAAACCGAAAAAAGCTATGTGAAAACTTTTGCAAAGATTTAAAACAGTATACTATACATTGCGGCTAAGATTCCGCGTCGATTCTGACCAGAATTCTTATAAGGGATAATGTCAATGTTACCGAAAAATTCACAACAAAAACGTCATCCCGACTACTTTAATGGAAAATAAGAGCACGTTTACTAATATACTGCCGAATTTCAATCGACCTGGCGTGCTTATGGGAATTAATTGGCCTTTTAAAAAGCACTCTTATGGGCTCTTCTAGCTGTTGCCGACTGTGCCGGCAACCACACACTAAAATTTTGTTCTGGCTAAAAATGCACCACATAGATTGTTGGATATATATATACTTCAAAAAGCTAACTATACTAAACAAAAACCTACAATATCAAGAACGGCAACAGGCGCTTTTTCTCGGTACTTTTAGTGTAACGGTTTTCCTTTCCGACTTCACCTTTACCGTCTGAATTTCAGTACAGTAAAATATATCTAGCGATTTTGACATCTCGCATATTTCTCCAAATCCAGCCAATTGACTATGTTAGTTTCTCACCAATTTTATAACTCCTGTGATGTTTATGGGCAGTTTGACTAGCGGTCAGTGTTTATTGAGAGGGTATGTCGTAAAGAAATGACATGTCGCTCACGACTCCGGTAGACATGGTCACGTGTCGCAATGTCACCAACTGACGTCTAGCTCTGATGTATGGATCCTCGAAACTCTTCCTTCCTTGACAGCTGCAGTCCGATATCCGCTGGCCCCTGCGTGATCTCTGTTGGCCGTTAATTTTTCTGTTCTCCCTTTAGGTCTTTCTCCTCCCCCGCCTTTATCTTCTTCTTTCGAACATTTTCGTGCTGTTCCAATTTTTTGTATCTTTCGCGATAAGTGCCTTAACTCTTTACATAGCCCTTTGTCCTCTTATTGCTTCCACAAAATTTCCCAGAATATTTGTTCATTGCCTCGTTTATTCGTTTTCAGGTGCATTTTCGTTAGAACAACGCGTTTACTCTCCCTAACCTCCCTGTTTGCATATGCATCTTCAAACTACATCTTCACCTGCCCTATCGTACTCGCATTCTGTGTAGCTTGACCCATGTATTGGGAATGAAGCCGTATGCTGCTTCGCAGGCTGGCTGTCGAGTTTTGTCAGAAACTGCCAGCTGTCATTGAGGTAATTATACCTCCTTAATTTTACCTCTATTTTACTCTCACCAGCATAAGCTCCGTGATGTCCTTACTGCAGCCTGGTAAGTATAGAGGCGATAATATCGTTCGTGATGCGCGTAGAATGACTTACTAGCTTTGCTGGCCATTTCACTCGTCCCCAACGCCTATCCTCCTGAAATTTCTTGTCATCGGAACAAGTTCAGTTAGGGAGAAGATAGTCCGCTTGTCGTTGCACTAGTATATCTTAATATTAACTAACCCACACTCAAGTAATCGATGTCTCATCAAATCCGTGGGACTAGCAGTAGGCGTTGTCGTCTGCAGCTGCCTAACCAGAACAACAGGCAAGTCCGATTGGTTTGTTACTTTCAAGCAACGGCTAAGAATTTAACAGGTCAAGTTTCACTTCAGTTAGGCCTCTACTGTGATAAAACCGATATCATTGTGTAAGAACACTGAAGTTCCCCTTCACTTTCGTCCATTACGGCATGTTCACACAAGCCAAAGTCATCCGACAAAACTTCCGAGATTTTGATCTTGCTTTTTAACCACAATAGAGTTAGAGCTATCGAGTCAGACTTGAAATAAACCGGGGTCACATATATTTCGCTAGTTCGTTGTACCTTTGTTTGTGCATCTGTGCACCAAATCTCCGCAGTACCTTGTTTTCTGACTTCTAAAAATGTTTTTTTCACACTTACGCACTACATTGATTTCTGGATGTTTCGGAGGTCATGTTCAACCAAGTGTTTGATGTCACGATTCCCAACTGGTTGATTGGACAGGTCGTCGGTGTGTCGGCCGTCATTTTGACCAGGTAATGCCACACAAAATGACACCCTGGTTTATGAAGTGGCTGTTCACTATCTGTAGATAAACTCCTTTCTCGATTCGACACCTTAGTTACGCCAACAGTTGCCCTCATTGGCTGATTGGCAGGAGAGTAGTCCGACTAAAACAATTCGGGAGAGGATTTTCGCTGTTTGGACATCTGAGACAATATGCAATCGGCCAAATTCCCAACAAAACCCTCGACGGTCGTGGTCGCACTTCTACAGTGATATCGGGGATTAATGGTACCACGCTGGAGACCTTTGGATTTTGACCAAACGACGAGATTTCAGAGTGTAACCAAGCCTCACAGCAGGCTTTGAGACTCTGTGAATGACCGCATTGTGATTACCATTTTGAAAGACTACTGATTGTATCCTGCTGTCTTTTGCTACCTGAAAGTGAAAGGGCTGATTTTTGGAGCTTCTTTCGTAGTCTTAGTTTCTTTGAAATTAAATTGCGGGCCCGACGATAAATTTCCGGGAGTTGCCTTGGATCTTTTGGTCAGAATCGCCTCCTTTGCAATTCAATTTCTTCTCCCAGCCCCCGGTGAACCCGCTTTTGACTTTCGACATCCATGTCTGTCAATGAGTTGCGTGCATCTGGGGCAAGCCCATTTGCAGATTCCCTATGCTGTTATGCATTCATTATGGCGACCTTAAGCCCGCTGAACTCCCCAATTTCGGTGTTCTGGTTTGGTTTTCGTTCATATGGTGTATATTCTTTGGCGTTGGTGATTCTTTATGACCAACCTTTGCGGGTATTTTGAGGGTCATCAGTCATTCTTTTCTGTGCAAATTCTAGCTTTGCAGAAACTCAGGCAACAGCAAGAAGTCGCTTCATCGCCGTTTGCTTGCTTTTTGACCCCAAACATTTGCCGAACCGGCAGCATGTGTCTCAGGTACTCACAGTTTCTTTCTTATCTTAAAACCCTGCTTATGAGTTCCAGACAATAATCCCACTGCGTCACCAACCTCCTCGTTCAACTAGCTAGGGATCAGTTTTGACGTTGGTATCAGAAGAATATAACCTCATTTGACGCTGATAAGCTGTATTCTGCTGTACCCAGTGGAGGGCAATTTAAGTGCCTCGGGTAGGGTCTTGTAACGAGCAATCGAGAGTGGTTTGCGTAAGTCGAAAAGACTATTATTTCCTGTATATACTCAACAGCTGCGTATAGACAGTTTATTATTGTCCTGTTGATGGGGACGTTATTCCTCGACAAAAGGGTCTCTGGTTCATGCCTCAGATATGTACATCAAACTTTACTCTTAATAATCGGATCACAGACGTTTACGTCTAAAATATCCCTGGGATCTCCACGAGACTGCGTTGAAAACCTGTGCGCAGTCAAATTACAGGGCACGAATAAAACCACCAATCACCTTCGTTTCCCTGCACTGCATTAGCTCGAAGGCCAGTATTTTATATCACAGTGTTTGAATGAGAACTTACTATTTCAAGTGCAATCACCCGGAAGCCCCATGGATTCATCTATTGAGTCCCTGATTAAACATTTTAAACATGGGTGCAATACAATGCATCGAGAGTAGGAATAGTCAGGTTAAGTCAGTTTATTAAGGGAATACATTAGATAGAGGTTGTAGATCATATCAACTGCGTCTTTCTGGTGGTGGTTGCTCCGCGCGGCACTTAGCTAGCATCCAACCTTCATCCGTAGTGTAACGGAGGTTGTTTTAAACGCCATTTTTTTCCTTAACCCCCTTTTCCAGAATTCCGCGCCACGGGCGGCGGACGGGCGTTACCTCTCCGCGCAACCGCTAGGTCCTGCTCTCCATTAAGCCATTTTTCTATATATCGTATCGATCGTTTTGTGTCTGGCTGTGTACACTTGTTATCTAGTCCATTACCAAAGTTTAGCCTTTTCTAATATTCCCACGGCGTCTATCTTCACGTTTCGTGTTTTTGTTTCGAGATTTGATATACAGTTTTTCCGCCCTTCATACATCCGAGAAGAAATATTTCCGTGAACATAATCTTACCTCGATGTGCCATGTCCAAGTTCCGCAAATCCTCGACTGACTTATATGCCTAACTAACGCGTCTTTTAGACGAGGCCTCATTGACGACCCTCGTGGACAACTTTAGACAGCTCTCCCGATATACAGTGAGGATAAGTCTCACCTTGCCCTATCCCGTTCGGCATCTTTAATGGTTATGCAAAGATAGACTCTGGCTAAACCGGCAGACTAGACCAGATGAGGGTATTCGATGTTGTCTGTGTCCCCACATCCCGGATTGTCCCCTTTCCACTCCACCTTCTCCCTCGCTCTTTGAAAAGTACTACGGGAGAGTGATTCGTTATAACGCTGGTTGCGAATACTAACGCGGATCATCGTCCACTTAATAAAGCCGTGACCCATAGTGAGATCTGGCGGCCGTCTGAGATGTCTTAGTATGCCTGCTTAGGGATACCGCTCTTTACCCATTGCGGAAGAGTGCGGCTACAAAGCGTGCCCCAAATACATTTTGCTAACTCACCGTATCCGAGACCACACCGTGGCTCGTGAAAGCAAAACTCACGGTCGACACAAATAAACAAGCGGCCTCCCATTCTTTCTGCCCCACCTCATTGGAAGATAAAAAGACTAGCTACTCTGACCGCCCAAAATGCTCGTTCTCTTTTGGACAATCAGAGGAACAGCCGACTGAAAAAGGAGACAGTGCAGGTCACTCGGGGACTGGGACGCTACGAGGTGGACATTGCTGCCCACAGCAAGACCCGCTTCTATGAACATAGCCAAATGTAGAAGATGGATGCCAGCTACATCTTCACCGGCAGCGGCTCCCTAAAGGAAGAGCGACGCAGGCGTTGCCTTTACAATCCGAAGCGACATCGTAGGAAACTATCCTGTCAACTGCATGGCCTCAACGGTCACTTCATGAGCCCGCACCTGCTTCTTCGGGGAGCTACATTTGCCATCACCATCAGTGTCTACGCCCCCCAATGCCCAGCTCCGACGAGGCCAAGACAAAGTTCTACGAAGACGTGCGCACATTCCCGGCAACTATGCCGAAGGCGGATGAACTGGCTGTCTCCGGTGACTTCATTGCTCGCGTCGGGACAGACCACTTTGCCTGAGAGCGATCGTTGGATCCCCAGGGAATGGAGTCTGCAAATGACGTCCTCCGCTGTCTATGAGCCTGCGCCGAACACCGATCCTTCTTGACCAACGCCTTTCTCCGCCTTCCAATGCGGCAGAAATCAATATGGATGTACGCGCGATCGCGACACTTAAAACTGCTGAACCAGGTTCTCGTCCGAAGGCAGGATCGGCCGAATGTGCTGTCAACCAAGACTATCTGCGACGCCGACAGCTGGACGGATCACCATCTCGTCATTTCCAAGATGGAACTCCGAAAGCAGCCCGCTGGAGACCACAGGGTACAGGTCAACCAGGTTTACTTAAATAATGTTCTGTTAAATTTGCCTGCACACTGTTTCGATTTCAGCATTCAGCTAGTGCAGCACCGGGCTCCGAACGACAACGCCAAAGATGGTGGCCGGAACGGACGGCGAGCGGCCCCTGAGAGGTAGATGAAGTGTGGGGTTGACCCTAGGAGCATCGTCTAAACGGTACTCAGTGCATATTCCTCATTTTAAGCAATCCGACTCCCTTTTCAACTAGCATGCTGCGCTAAAGGCCATGGGCTGGAAGGCTGCCAACCGACAGGATAACCTGACCCTCATCTCAGGACGGAGAGTCAAGCTGCAATGGCTCCTTCTTACTCTGTCCTCTATGACAGTCCTAGCCTGCTGCGATCCGAGTCGCTTCTTTCTCGTTTCTGCGGAAACCTGGCCCTTTGCGCAAGAACAGGTTGTGAGTAGCACGCTCAGACGGGTCATTTGCCCTTGTGAACCACTGCGTCCGATTCCACCTCCGATCTATTAGACTGTCTTAACACCGAGCTCAAGTTGGTGAGAGAGGAGAGTATGGCAGATGCAGCGCAAACATACCACTATCTCACGCGAAAGTCATCGTCCCTGCGTCCGCCATGATGTATCGCCGTTCGCGATGGTCGAACTAACATCCGGACAATTTTTACATTGCCCTGGCGACATTTACTTCACAGTCCTCCAAGTGCCCAGAGCCTTGCGTTCCTCCCCATATTTTGCCGCACTTAGACCCACGCTTTGACATGAAACCACGCATTTGGACACACCACACCCGGGAAACCACCGGCTCGACCAAACACTGAGTTTCTTGACGTTTGGTTACAAGTTTATTGCGTCACCATCAAAGGTAAATTTCCTCCGTATATGTCTGTCACTGGCAGATTTAGCAACCTCGGACTGTAGCCCCTGGGTGCAATTATTCATATTAATAAGAAAGATTAGTAGGACTAACACAGATCTTTGTGCGTTACCACCTTAAATGGTTACTTCATTAGGGTTGGAATCACAATGTAATAAGTCCTCATGCGGAAGGACAAAAAACTCAATAAATCTGAACGCTCAACGTTGGTAACCAATTCTCTTTATTCTCCGTGGGATTCATGCATACTGTCAAACGTTGTATTGATTTTACCAAGCGACACATTGGACATTCCTTCAGGTGGATCTACTGTGGTTTTGCATAGGTCCATCAAGTAAATGTAACTCATCCTAGATTCACGGGATGATTCCGCAAATATCTCAGGTTCTCCTGGACAATGTTCCCTGTTTATAATGATCAGGTTTCTTCATCATCCTCTAGTGTTAATGGAAATTTGGATGGTTTGCCGCTGAGCGGACTGGTGTAAAAAAGAGATCTCCTTGATATCCGCTTGGGCGGTCTGTGGGAATGAACGGAGTAGTTAGTAGCGCCCGATTGAGAGTACAGTCACCCCCCTCCCCATACTAGAAGAACTTTCCTGTGAAAGCGATTCTATCACCTTCGTCGCTTATGCTTCTTATGTTCGTTCAACTTGTAGAAAATAAAGGGGTGCTAACTAGAATTTATGGTGGGCGGCCTTTGGATAATTAGAATGGATCCCAATCGATGAGGACAAGAGGGAATTACTATGCTCCTACGTGATTGTACCTCTTGCACTACAGACTGGCCTTCCTCAAAGAGAGGCCTCGGTTGGGGAATTCTTAGCTACTACTTAAGACAATCGAACCGATCCTATCTCCTTATTGCTCTGATATACAGACCCTCGGAAGACGGAAGGTGCAGGTAATGCACTCATTTCCAGACGGAGGGAACCTTTGGGATTTCGACTTTTTAGACACTGAGTGGGAGTTGATGCACTGGGCACGATCTTAAATCTCCTTTGATCGGCAAAATCATAATTTGGTCATGGACGTTAACATGGAGATGCTCATACCTCGTGAACAACAGTCAAACTGTCAAGACCTCATCATTACTAGAGATCAAAGTAGTATTCATATTGACCCAACTGTGAAAAACTCGTCGTCTCGGTGGGATTCGAACCCACGCAGTAAGGTGAAGGCTTTAGCGCAGCCTCGTAGCTCAGGTGGTTAGAGCGTTGGCTGCGCTAAAGCCTTCCCCTTACTGCGTGGGTTCGAATCCCACCGAGACGACGAGTTTTTCACAGTTGGGTCAATATGAATTAGTCAAAATCTGCCAAAATATCAACAAAGTAGTATTTTCAATTCAGGTTCCGACACGTCCCTTGACCGGAGCGATCACTGTGTTCTTGTTCAGAAGTAAAAGTCCATTTTCTTTACCCAAAATCCAAGTAGTCGAGGGGAGAGGTGTTTGAATGACGGATTTCTTGAAAATGAGGGGAAGCTTGGAGGAGAGAGACTGGAAGGCTGCATTTATGTCTCTGACCTAAAAACCTATGCGTTTTTAGGGAGGTCAAGGCAGCACTCGTTAGGGAGCTTTGCCCATGAGTGACACCTGAAGTGAAGCGAAAACTCAAGCGGAGAAGGAGACTTTGCGAAAGATCCACCAACTGTAAACAATTCGAGGATTTGGTTGATTTTGCGAACCAACAAAATAAGCGAGGGAACTTCTTGAGAAATGAACGTATGGCCCTCGAGTCGAGAATAACCAAAAGAATTCCCTGTGATTTGAAAAATATTCTTCCTTCATGTGAACAGGACAAGGCGCGTTAAACCCAGACCTCAAGTCACATCAGACACCCTGTCCATCTTTATTAACAGTCGATCTGACTTGGACTAGATTGACGCGTGTGAGGAGGCTAAGGGGATGAGGTCAGTCTAGCCAGAATCCATTGTTTACTTCCTCATTTTAAACAACCAAACGTGCTGAAAAAATGTAAGAAGATGCTAAAAATTGTGGCTTGAACAATTGCACAATTTCATGATAACCGGTTCTACTCAGGACCGGGGAGTCAGACTGCAACGGTCTCCCCTTAATGGGAGCGAGACGGTGCTGCCAATCGCGTGAGATCTGATACTACCACCACTAATGGGACACTATACGTGTGAAGTTAAAGATCAGATCGCGTGCGACATAGGTACGGTGACTGTTTAACCTAGTCGGACACTGCAGTTGCGCCCGAATACTGTAGTCATAAATCTATTCCTCATTGGAAACAAAGTAATGCGCAAACCACTGCTGAACTTATCCCGTGAGGTCGTGATGGCCCTCATCATTCTTTGACAGTCAAAATTGCGTGTAACATGCATGGAACGCTTCTGTACACTTGTATCCATAGGTTAATCGATTGCCCCATACCGAACGCTAACTAGTCCTTGTATTAAGTTGGGGATTAGTCACGACCATAGAAACCACCCGTGTTTCAGATGGCACTGTCCTAAATTCCAGAGGGACTGCAGTTAGTCGGGTTAGGGTTATGAAGGCCAGCGCTAAGGCTAGGTGGTAACGCTTGTGTTAAATCCATACTGACCTAACTGTGGAAAACTCGGCGCCTCGGTGGGATCCGAGCCCACGAGAACAAAGGTAAGACTTTAATACAGCCAATGCTCTAGCCACCTGAGCTACGAAGCCTCACCAGGAGACGTGAGTTTAATTACATATGGGTCAAGTTACACGCCCAGCCCTACTGCAACGTCTGGAGTCTACCAAATCTGGTACAGTAATCTGACTTCCCAAACAGGATTTCCTAAGTAATCCATCTAGAATCCACCAGATGACTACCAGGCTCACGTATTTCATAGATGTTTTGGCAGATTTTGAATGATTCATACCAGCCGGTATTTGGGTAAGATCCTAATATGCAGCCATGCATTCATTGTTAATACTGTCGGCCTACTGATTTGGCTTCAGTAGGTGTGATTAAATTGAAGCGAGTGGCTTGGCTCAGTGCGTCCCCATGACGCATTTCCTATTTAATTCGACAAGTGGCTAGGATACGAACCGATCAAGTCCACTGTCGTTTCTAGTCCAGCGAGTGGCCAGGCTACGAAACCGAATATGTTCAGCTAACTTTCTAATCCAGCGAGTGGCTAGGCTAGGTGCATTCGTATCTGCTTTGTGGATGGCTTTCCTGCACACCTTTACCTACGCGTTGGCCCTGCGCTCGCGCTTCCCATTGGTCGACTATATCGCTCGTGAGTAGCGGTTGGTTTTCAACTCATTCAAAGTTTGGCCGTGCTTCACTCTATGGCTTTTTCCTTGCGTTTCCGTGGTTCAATATTTGGCGTGTACGATGGCCCCACCGGGAAAACCCCTCTTACTCCAATTCCCGAATTAGAGTAGAGCTGCTTCAGGGAGGGCTGCATATTAGGATCTTAACCGTATTTGCGTGTCTGACTGAGCTGGATTACCATGCATAATTTTGAAAATGATGCAGATTTACTAATTAGGAAATAAGCAGACCCAAGTCCGCAGTCCCGCGTTTACGCTTGGCCTTCATAGCCACTCTCCTCTTTACGAACACAAAGTGCCCGTTGTGTACATAGTAAATAGCTAAAAAATACTGTTTTAATTTATAGCGTCCCTTGACTGCAGATACCGAAGGGAATAGAAGCGAAAGTCGTGTTCCAGCAAAGATGGAGGAAGTGAGATGACCACTTCAGGCTTATTCGTGATCTTCAGTCAGTGGATCATGCCAGACTCCAAACGAGGAATAATTTAGCTAAAAAGAAGAATTAGTCTCTTTGAGGAGAACCAGGAGTTAAGGAGTGGGATACTGTACCGAGCCCTGTCACTTTGTGCCAGGAAAATTTCCAACACTTGAAAGGGGTGTTGCGGCAGCCGCCATGGCCAGTCTGGCGTCATTTTTCAGTGCCAAGGTGCCTCAAGGTCACTCACCCCTTGCAGCGAACCATTCTAGAAGTGTTGACCTGAAGCTACTCGACCGACTTCAGGCCGGCCATACCTGCGTTCACGCAGCCGCAGCTGCCCATGCGGTCACCTTAATGCACCTCTCCACTGCAACCACAACCTATACTACCGGGACACCACGCCTCGGCAAATGCAACACACGCTGACTGGACACCACTTTAGCTAGGCCCACGAGCCTACAAAAACTGCTCCCACCACTGTCCTTGGGGCTCTCGGGCATGACTGAACGCAGTTAACACTAGGTCTGGCTTCACTGGCGACAATTGCCGCCTGAGAGGACAACTCGGGTTCAGTACACAATAAACCGTTCGTCCTTGGAAATGTTGTCTTGGGATTTAGCCCTCTGCGAGTGCACTTCAACCGCTTAGTCTCTACAGGGGCGTCTAACAGCCATTCATCGAAGCAGAACTTGCTACTCTCCTGGAGTTCAATTTGCCCTTATCGCGCAGCAGTGACCAGGCATCAATCAAAGTTTGGGGTTACAGTGCTTTATAAGTGCAATAGGAGATAGGGTGTAAGGGGTGTCCGGTTGTGGGTCTACGCGATGGTCTTAGTAGGTCGCTCACTTGCTTGCAGTGTAGCCTACGCCCAACGTCCATTAACTGACATCAAACTCTCACATGTGGCTCCCAGAAGCCAGGCTCTACCTAGCGGCCACACCCCGATAACCGCCTCTACCGGAGGGCTAAACCAGGCGAGGGCATGCGTGTGTGCATATCCGCACACGGTGACGCGGCTCAGCTGGCCGTATGGATCATCGCCTCGGTACCTCCGAGACGGGACTCCAATCGGTACACCACAGGAGGCCACAAGGTACAGTGAGTGACCAATCTTATCAAATATTGGTCGAAATTCTGAAATGCGTTTTCTACAAGGAAGGATTATTTACGTGGGGTTGTAAAACTGGTTATCATGCGGCATAATCCTACAGTATTTTGGACTCGCCAGGATGTCAGCTTTTGAATGCTCTGATTTTCGATCTCCTACAGGAAGCACACTAGGTAAAAATGACTACTTAAGTAGCGCGCATTTTTTGAATTGATTTCCGATGATTTTATAAACTCAAATACATTTTCTAGAAAAAATGCCCAAAAGTGTGCCTTCTTTCACTCGTTCGGTGGAAAATCACGTTGTTTTTACATTCAATACCCAATGAAAGTGCATATTTAAGTTTTGAAAAAAGTTTCTAATCATGGGATTTTTAAGACCGTGCCATGTCCGTTCACACCACTGCTCCTCATGAAATGTACAACGCAGTCCGCATCCACGGCGAAATTTTCTGAACTCTATATAGTATCTTCTTAAATAGATAGAACTCCCAGGTAAGCGAACATTTCTCTATCGTCTTTGCTTTGCTTGTCCTTGCTTGCTTGTGTTTGACTTTGTTGTAAGCTAAATGTCGTTGCGTTGAATTTTCTCTGCTGCCTTTGCTTTTTGCTGTTCTTGTCTGTCTGCTTTTTCGTCTCCGTCCTTACTGTAAGCTAAATGCCGTTCTTTTGAATCTGTTTGCTCACCGCTTTTATATTTCAGCAACCAGCTAGCCTAGAGAGGGACGCCAAACACTACTTCCTGTCTCTCTTCGCTTCCCTCATCCTCCCGCCTCCCCCCTTCAAAAAGTCCTCCAGCGAAAACGACAACGATAGCGTAGGCGACCCAGGCTAGCTCGGATCGTCCTTCCACTAAACACTGTCGTAGCTGATAGTGGAGTCCGACAGCCGTCTGGGATGTCTGAGCAGCCCTATTTAGGCAGAGCACTGCTCACCCCCTGTGAGGGGGGAAGGGGCTAGAACAGGTGCCCTAAACAGATACTGGGATTCAGGTCGTCTGCAGGCTGATCGTGACTCGCAGATGTCAAACGCACGGTCAGGACAACCAGACAAGAAGGAACATACTTTCTTTTACCCCTTCTCCCCCCGCAGTCCCACTCGTCAGACTGATAGGGTGAGTTGGCTCACTCTGGCAGCTTGGAATGTTCGTTCCCTTTTAGATAGTCCCAGGAGCAATTGGCCGGAACGGAGAACGGCGCTAGTCGCTTCCGAATTGAGGCGCTAAGGTGGAAACCGCTGCACTCAGCGAGAGCCAGTTCTCCGAAAGAGGTCAACTGGAGGAGATGGGTACCGGCTACACCTTCTTCGGAGAACGGTCGCCCAAAGGCAGAGAGAGGGGACTGGTTAGATCGTCAATTAGTCGTACATCTCTATAAGGTGAAAGGTAATCGCCAAATCTGCCCGCTGAACATCGCCGGGAAGATCTTCGTTCGCATTCTTCTCAACTGCCTGAACCACCATCTGGAGCAAGGTTTCCTACTGTGACGAACGCCCTGGGGTCCGTATCGCCTGCAGAACGGATGGCCATCTCCCCAATTATCGCCAGATGCTCTTCCGGTCGCGTATATCCACTATTGCCGTCCATGAACTTTTCTTCGCCGACGACTGCGCCCTCAACTCTATCTCGGAAGGGGACATGTAAAGGGGCATGGATCTCTTAATCGCCGCCTGCGCCAATTTTGACCTGGCTATCAACATGGAGAAAACGGTGGTCATACATCAACCGCCACCCGACGCTGCCTACATCGCATCCCAAATCAACATGAACGGCGCCCAACTGCAAGCCGTGGACAACTTCACCTACCTGGGCAGCACCTCCTCTCGCACAACCAAGATCGACAAGGAAGTGACTCGCCGGATTTCCAAAACCAGCCAAACTTTCGGCCGTCCGCGGTCTCCACCTCAGCACCAATCAGAAGATATACAAAGCAGTCATCCTGCGGACGTTGCAGTACGGAGCGGAGATCAGGACGGTCTACAAGAATCAGGTGCGGAGACTCAATCCTCTCCACCTTCGACGGATACTGAAGCTGAGGTGGCAAAACCAGATCCCGAACACTGATGCACTGGCACGGACGGGAATCCTCAGCATCTGCGTCATGCTAAGACAGCTGGAACTACGGTGGAGCGGCAACGTGCAGATGGACGACGAGCGGCTACCTGGACGACTATTCTACGGAGCACCAGCATACTACGGACACACCCGCCTTAATTGCTCTCGCACATTCACTCCCCGCATGGGTCTTCTAGGTCACATGCATGTCCACGAGAGCGGAATTCACCGCAGCCTCGAAACACCTAGTGCACCCCGCACACCTGACATGCCTATTCCAACCCACACCCCGTCCCCCATCATCACCGAAACCGACATTAACACCGCTGGCCTTTTCTACCCGCACTGCCCCCGTGCATTCACCTCACACATCGGCCTGGTCGGTCACTTGCGAATCCATTGCACAGAGCCTGGAGAACCAGTGCCTGGAGCACCGACATACACCAGACGCATCCCTCTCAACTGCCCTCCCTGCACCCGCACATTCACCCACCGCATGGGCCTATTAGGCCACGTGCGCATCCGTGCAAACCTGTGGTAGACAACCGCCGACTGCATCACACCATCACACCTACCCCCACCTACATCACACGACATCGTCATCCACCATAAGCATCTAACTGCCACTTCCCACGCGAGTGGCACTTGTGCGTCTTGACTCCGTCTCCATGCGGCTTCTACTGCATGTGTGATTAGAGTCTGAGGCTATCACGACACGTCAAGTTCTGTGGCTTGAAAGGCTGCTGACTGGGGTCCCAACTCAGTCCACGCGGTCTGCCCAGCTGTGTGAGTGTGGAGTGGCGGACTGGTGTGCTGAGAGCCAGGCCGAAACGGCTCCTTCTTAACGTGACCCACGGCACTCTCACGCATGTGAGATGTACGCCGCCCTACCCCCGTCGTGTGAAATTCTGGTGCTCGTATTTGGGGGACCAGGTCGTGCATGTGGCGCGCGCAGAAAAGGTCATCACATATGTCAGCCACCGCGCCCATTCCCCGCACCTGTCAACGAGAAAGCTCGGATAGTGACTGGGACCTCGAAATGGGGAGAGTAAGATCGACGACTCAGTGCATATTCCTAGCTATAAACAATCTAACGCGCTTGAAACTATCACGGTGCGCTAAAAGCCGTGGCTTAGGAGGCTGCCAGCTGACAGGATAACTTGGACCTCGCAGTAGGCCCAGTGTTGTGTGTGTTTGTGTGGAGCGGCCGACTGGTGGCCTAAGAGTCAGGGCGCAATAGCTCCTTCTTAATGTGGTCATTATGACTCCTACTCCGTGGGATCCGAGGCAGGTGCGATCGCACGCCTAGGCGTGGCTCCGACCGCGCCAACTTTCCTTTTGTTGTTGGTCGAAATTCTGGTTATTTGCTGTGTGGAGTGAAACGCCAAGGTGTCATCCGCCTGTGCCCCCCCTCCCACCTGCGGTCTTCTTGACTCTGTCTTGACACCGGCTCCAAGCGGGGGGGGGGAGGAGGAGAGAGTGTGGTAGGTGTTGCGCAAGTCCCCATTTCCTGTAAACTAATTCGCGTGCAAGTCACCGCGCCTGGTGCACCTTGCTGTTTAGTACACTCTGGACGTCATCGGAATCGACAGACGAACTGCCGGGTAGTCTGCAAGGTCAATGTGCTTGATCGATGGATAAACCTTCGTTTCGATTTTCTGTTAAGACTTGTAACTGGCCAGTTTCGCGAATTCATTCTTCGCATTCCCGAAGACCGTGACGTGTAATAGGTGATCTGTGATAATATTGGCAATTGTGGCAAGACTCTGCCCTTGCAATATCAATTTCTTGCAAAAACACATCGTATGGTAGTTCAGATTTACGCTGTTCCCTTTCGCCGACTAAATGCAGAGCGCTGGAATGCTTGAATTGATTGAATACCTTGTCTATATGCTATTTTTTGCTGGTTTAATTAAAACCCTCTGGCTGTAAACACTTTGAAAAAACAACCACCGATTGCCACACTAGCACCAAAACCGCGGTAATATGGGACTTTGTACATTCGTCAGAATTCAAAGCACGAGGAACTTTCGTACCTGTGCAAAACATACCAGGGTTAGATTTTCGGGTATAAATGGCAGTCGCTCCGTCTAGATCGATACGCAATCCCTCACTAAATCGCGATCCAATTTTCGCGGATTTCATATGCCAGCATATCCAAATACATCGCGGATTTTTCGCTGGTTCGCGGATTTCTGCGGAAAATGGGCCAACGGACACCATATCATCCGAGAGAAAGCCAAACTTCATGATACACTAGCTGATGCCAGGGTGTTCTAGGCGATGATACGTATATTTATGCGAAGTGCATAGCGTTCATATACATAATTGATAATATTCTCCGAATTTTCTCGATTCAGTGGTAGTTTATCCACCAAAATAAACTCACCGGGGATCAAAGGCTACGCCAGAAGTCTGAATGACTGGGACATCCTTTGTGGTTCCACGGTAACAAACGGTAAGATTAGTAGAGCACGATAGAGTTAGCAAGGTGGGCATACATTAAAGTAGACATACATTTGAAGTGACTAGACGAACAGTCACGCAAATAACTTCAACGCGTGGTGGCCGATTTAGAAGCGAGCGACAGCAAAGAGCAATGATCATAGAACGAACATCGACGAGCAAGGATGTAGAAGCGTGGCCCTAGTAAATTCTGCTTACTAACAAACAGTTAGTAACGATTAAAAGTGGAATTCAAAATTGACATTCCAGATGTCACAATGATCTCGACTTATCCTACCAAGTGTCTAAGAGAGTGGAGAGGGTTGCTGCTGTATAACTGCGTGCGAATGTCTCTGCTGTTGGATTCGAGTGAGAATCCAAAACGCCCGGTCGTAAGTTTCTTGTGTTAGTGATCACATCTTCTTCTGTGAGGCTGTAGAAGGGCTCAAACTAAAGAAAAATAGAGCTCACGTCAGATTTTTGCTTCTCGGCCTTCACCTTTCGCGGGCTGTTCCGAAACGCAACCGCCGCAATCGATTGGAGTGGCCGAACCGTGAGAACCCTGCTCCGAAGACTTCGCTGTAAGGTTACTGATACCTGGGCGGTACAGGAGGCGACAAGGTCAGTCCCTAGGACACGCAGGGGCGTGCTGTCGTCGAGGCCACAAGCGGGCTCTTCGAATTCCCCAATTTTTTCGGTATATTCCTTCATAATACCGACCCACTGCACACTACATAAGCGGTGCTACCGGAGCTCCCGAATGCATTCGCTCAAAATGAGCCTTAAATGTTGGTTTGGATTTTATGTCCGTTGCTTGCTCATGAGGCCCAACGGCTGGCTACCGGCTGAAGACTCCTTCAGAATCACTAACTGTGTCCAGACATCCCGTCCATGTGAAAGTTGACAGCCGCCTGGGTGTCTAAACAGTCTTATTTAGGGTAGTGCTACTGGGCGCTCCCTGTGAATGTCGTTCTGGAATGATGGTATACCGTCATTCCGCAACTGACTGTAGCTGGCACGATAAACGAATACGGTCGAGGCAGTATATTAGCAAATGACACCACCCACCCTCCTGTGAGAGAGGACTCACTCGCTTTGGTGGTCTTACACTTTTAATTTGCTGTGACAACCTAATAAACGGTCCTCTGGGAAAGAGTTTAAGTAGTCGAAAAATCCCTCCTCCACATTGCAGCTCTCAGTGGGACAGAAGCTGAACGAAGCCATTGCTCCTCATCGTCAACTCCTGACGATGGGGTTACTGTCTCACGAAAAAACCAAACACCTCCAACGCTAACAGCTGTACCTCATTATCGACAGGCCGGGACGCGGGGCTTGTACTCTCTCATCGCGTCTACAGTGAATATGGCAAAGTAGAGCATCTTCGAAGATGCCAATGTACGAGGTGGCTCAAACCACGCCACCTTGGGAGGAGTGTCAAGTCCTTACGGAGTAATCGACGGTGACAGCAATATACCCTTTTTGGTGAAGACCGCACATTGTTTCCCACCTTCCTAGTCGCAAGAAGGCAACACGGACACAACTACGTTAATGTCACTGGCAGCTGTATATCGTGTTGAGGGGACGAGACAAGGCTATGCGTGACGACTGTTGGACTGTCCCCATCTAACTAACTAGTGAGGTCTTTAAAATGGGTAGGTGTCGAACAGGCTCTTTCAGCTGCAGCGGTCGGAAATCAAACCGAGGATCGTATGCAGAACAGACTGCTGATAATAACTGGAACTCAATCAACACCGCCGCCATTAATGTTCTTTGACATAGGTGCAAATGAAATTAGGACGGTCGTGGTGAGAAAAACGCCCTTCTCAAAAATAGAGCTGGCTGATATCCAAGTGAGAGATGTGCCCGGCTTTGAAATGGTGAGGAAATTTAACACTACAGATGATAACTTAGGGGGTGTCAATCGAAGAAAGAAGACAAGGCGTCGTGTACAAAAATTATTTCATATGATTTCTTTACAAACGGCGACCATGGAAAAAGGTGGTAATCTATGCATCTGTGAAATTTTCCGGATCTATTTCACCATCTTCGATTGCTGAAAGAAGAAATAGGAACAGTCTGATAAATCCCCCATATTTTGTACAGCCAACATTAAAAACTAGCTGAAACGAGTCTATGTGAAAAAGAACGCGTGTGAGTAAGAAAACACCCTACTTTTGTATGACGAAGTACGTTATTTAAAATAGATTTACCATTAACTGTTATTCGGCCAGGAACCAAAATTCTTTTGTTGCATAAGCTATGTGACACTGGCAACAAACTAATAAGGTACTTCAAACATCTTAAACAGTTGACATTACAAGTAAATGATTAACTATGAAGTACACGAGATATAAAAGTGCAGAAAAAGTGCAGTCAGCGTCACCTGAAGCAATAATTCGTTTTTGTTTGCTCTTACAAGCAATAGAAGTTAAAGACAACTTCAATATAAAGATACGTGGGTGATTACAAATAACACAAAAGACACAATTGGTTACATAACACCTGAGACATGCTTTTGTCAACAAGCCTGAAGCCTCACCAACACTAAAACTCACACGATAGAAATGGAAAATGCCAGGTGCGCCAAAACGATGTTTTTGTAGATGAATTCACATCAGCAATGGACTGCTTTGGTTAAAGTGTCTTCTCCGTTTTAACAACGCTCAAATAATCAGATAAACGTTTTGGCATTGCCGACCCGAGGTGTCAACGTCCAAGTTCTCGTAACCCCAAATGCTCGAAACATGCGCATGGGTCCATCTCACAAAATACTAATAGAAGCCAGCCTGACGACAAAGCGAAACTCGTGTGCGATGTTCTGATTCGGTTTTTGTCTTCACTCCGGAAGAAGACTTCCTAACTGTCTTCAAACTTAATATGACTTATTTTTATCGCAAAGTACAATGTGTTTCATGTGCACACAAAAGTGGTCGAATCCGACTTGAAAAAATCGGCCCATGAGCGTATTTTGGATTCCACAGGCGTAAATTGTTAGTTCACCCGCAGAGACAGATGAGTCCTGGAGGCCACAGCCTCCCTCGTCTCATAGTCAAGGATTATCAGTCATCGCAAACAGGTTCCTCGCTATCCGTGTGATTGCCGTATCGTCATTTTACTTTGGCTGCCAGGTACATAGAGGTAAATACTCAGTCGGCAGGAAATTTTTTAAAGTGGAAACTTCACTTCAAATGTTTCGGAAATCGGAAGCTTCATACACCCTATCTACTCAATGGTATTTCCGTTTACGTTAAGTCTAAACACATACTTGTGGGTGTATATATTTCGGAGTCTATAAGCTGTTGGCGATAAACGCAAATAAATTATATTCTGGGAATAAGAAGACTAAATCTTGCACAAACGGTAGACTGAGCAAATCTAACCAGGACTACCTTCCACTTCAGCACCTTCTTGCTCTTCCTCTTCTTCCTCTTCGTTAAGGCCATTAAGTTCAGATTCTGAAAAGTCGTCAGGGTCGGGATTGAGAGCTTGACAGTCTGCAAGAGCGGTATACATCTCATCCAGGGCACGCCGGTCATCGGGCACAAAGCGTAGCACCGCAGTCGGTTGCTCATCATCGTTTACAAAGTCGCTATCACCATTCTCGTCTGAATCACTGGACCCACTGCCCACGGCGTTGTGGTTAGTTTCGTTGTCTGCCATTTCGACATCTCCACCGGCATGTACTTCAGGTTCTTCAGTGGACCACACATGCTCTCCTTCCACCATCATAAAAAGGTGAGGCTGTGGAAAGCGAACATTCTCGGCCCCACCGTAGGGATCCTGACTTACGGCGTGCAGGCAGATACTCGGATAAGATAGGGAGAACTGGCGGCTGTTTCCCCGCCATGTTACGGCGCTAACAATGCGAAAGAAAAATTAAAAAATGACCGAAATAATAAGATAATGGAGAATGGTGTGGTCCGTCAACACCCGGTGCCACATATTGTATCTATGGTATCTATATGAATGTATATATAATAATCGAGGAATTTATTTCACAGAAAATTTAAATCGTTGACTATAGGATAGGGGGAGCGATCTAGAAGACTGGGGAGTAGGTTCACTTTCCTAAAAGACATGCTTAGTCTACTGGATGAAAGACAGCCAAAACCGCTCAGTAAAATAACACAAACCTTTCGGATATGACGATGCTTCCGCGATCTATTAGCTTTGCATCTTCATAAAGGGAAATGTTATCCTTAATTAGGTGGACACCGGGCTCGCCCAAAGCAGTAACGCTTGTCATTCTCGCACTGACGAGTCCCGCGGGTCAAAAGCCCCTAATTCAAAGTCTCGACTTCGCATCAATTCAGAGACTTCATTCCGAATAGTTTCTGGGAGGGTCACGTTCTTAGCCCATAGCTTTTGACGTTCACTAAACAGAAAATACTATTTTCAACCCTTTTCGAAATAAATTTGTGTTCGGGGGAGATTAGCGAACAGGATTGTAAAAAGGCGAGAGCTATGTTCGCGGATTAGGGAATCTTTGAAATGTACGGTTCTCAATAATCCAGGTCGGCCTACAACACATATTTGCATTGTCAATGATAAAAGCAAAAAACCAAGGGGATTTAACTGCAGTTTCTTTAGCGAATGGACAGAGTAAGTGTTGGATTCAGGAAAAGTATTACACAGCAGCCTGGAACACGTGACAGAGTAGAAAAACTGAACCAAATACCTGAAGACGGCAATGCAAGCTCCAAATATTAGAACACAGGGAAAGGGTAAGCGCATCTAATGTAAGTCGTAGGACAAAAACACTCTTGGGCAGGTGATGTGAGGACAAAAGCGACATGAAGAGAAACCTGTCAGTTGGGTGGCGGGGGGGGGGGGGTGCCAGTAATCCGGGAATTCTGCAATAAACGCTATTCTGTGTGAAGCTGTAAAGGTAAATGGAAAAGGATGATGGCCAAAAGGTAGGAAATTCAAAACAGGGTTGTGATCTACTTTTCTAAGAATGTGGCTGAACAGTTGTGCTACTTAAAAGAAGACAAAGTCACGATCAGTGGGTTCATATCCTTATTGGACTTTGCTTTCGAACTGGAACAGGAGTTCGTCATCACGGACTATTGGAGTACAGCAACGCGTGAGCATTCATAACGTCGTACCTTGAGGGGCGGGGGTCGTATCCATGGCTAGGCCTGGTTCATACTGCCTGGCCGATAATGCTCTCCCGACGTGGTGACGGCGTCTGTCCTTCGTGTCGATGTGGACTGCGTCACCTGGCTGCGTGGGCGTAGTGCGTGATAGCACGCAGGCAAGTAGCTGTGTCTGTTTATGGAGTTTGTGTCCGACGCCTACTCCTAAAACAGTTTACGCCCAGCCTTGTTGCCGGTCCGCGCCAATATACGCGTGTTGACGAAGTCCAACACATGACCTTCCTCTAGCGTGTTAGTGGCGACTTGAGATAGTGGGTCGCCTCTCCGAACGAACTGTCTATGCTGGAGCATTCGTGAGTGAAGGCTTCGTCCTGTTTGGCCTGTGTAATGTCCTGGCTGTCCTCGGCCGCGCATGTCGTCAACAGGAGGACAGGTTCATTGACAACGACGCCGCCATTGGCAATCTGTCCGCCGAGAATAATCGACTACACAAAGCCTACATCCCCCTCCCCATCGGCGTCAGCAAAGCAATCTTTTACTGTAGTCGCCGTCTTGTGCAACAGTGGCTTCACGAGATGCAGGATACCTGTTAAGATATGCAAGAATGATGGCCCCAATTCATGGATCATCCGACGGCGCTCTTCCAAGTGATGTGGTGTCAAGGAGAAGCCCCACAGCATTTCAGGGACACCGCAGTCGTGCAACTCTACAAGCGGCAAGGGAACCGCCAAATCTGCGGCGCCCGCTGAGACATTTCCCTGTTGAACATTGACTGGAAGATCTTTGATCGCGTCTCGCTCAACCGCATGAACAACCATCTGGAACATGGTCCTTTGATGAAAATCCAGCACGGCTTTCGTCGTCATTGTGGGACCACGGACATAATCTTCGCCGCCCGTCTGCTGCAATAGAAGTGTCAGGAGATGTGAACTCACCTGTACTCTACCTTTGCGGATCTGCTGAAAGCCTTCCACACGGCGAATCGGGAAGGGCTGTGAAAAATCATGCGGAAATTCAGCCGTCCTGAATGATTCCCAGATGGTGCGCCAGCTCTAAAATGGCATGCTGGCGCTCCTCACGGATAAAGGAGCTATCTCAGTGGCATTCTCAGCGACCGACAGAGTGAAGCAGGGCTGTGTCCTTGTGCCTACTTTCTTCAGTCTCATGTTCTCTGCCAGGCTGATGGACGCCTACCGTGACCAACACACGGGAATCCGTGTATCCCACAGGACGGAAGCCAACTCCTCAATCACCGACGTATGCGCTTGCAGTCAGGTGTATCCACAACCAATGTCCACGAGCTTCTCAGGGCGACGACTGCGTTTTCAGCGCCAGCTCGAAAGGGGACATGCAAAGGAGCACGAACCTCTTCGTCGCCGCCTGTGACAAATTCGGCCTGGTCATCAACACACAGAAGACGGTGGTTATGCATCAACCGCCGCCCGACGCTGCCAAAATCAGCATGAGCGATGCCCAACTGCTAGTCGTGGACAACTTCATGTATCTGAGCAGCACCCTCTCCCGCATCTCCAAGATCGACAATGAAATGGCCTGTCGGATTTCCAAAGCCGGCCAAGCGTTCGGCAGTCTGCAAAACACAGGCGGGAAATGTCACGGTCTCCACCTCAACAATGACTATGAGCGGCAACCCAAACAACTCTTCAACGGAGATATCGACACGGAGTTCTCGCCGAAAAGGAGGCCAAGTACGCCTCTTTCAGGAAACTCTGAAGATTTCCCTCGGGAAGACTTCGTCCGAGACCGCCCCGGCATGAAGTAGGGCAGTTAAGACAGGCGCAGAGATCTACGAAGCCAACTTCACCATCGCCGCCAAAGCATGAACACTGCTATCCGCCAGTGGACTAGCCAATGTTTGGCCTGTCAGAAAGCCACAATCGGACGTCACAACAAAGCCCCAGTTGGAATCTTTCTTGCACCCAATGCCCGTTTTGTGAATGTGCACGTAGATTTCGTGGGTTCTTTGCCAACATCTCGTGGTTGCAACTATTTGCCCAGTGCTATTGGCCGATTTACGCGATGGCCCATCGCAACTCCGATTCCAAGCATCTCTGCAGATACTTCCATTTGTGCCTGTTCGCGACACTGTATTTCCCAACATGGTGTCCCCACTACTATTACCACCGACCGAGGCCAACAATTTGGATCCGGGCTTTTGAAGGCTCTTAAAGACTTCCTTGGGTGCTTTCGCATACGGACGACAGCTTATCATCTCTCATCCAAAGGTCTAGTTGAATGTTTCCAGCGTCAACTCAAAACCTCGCTCCGGGCCTATGAAAACCCCACTCATTGGAATGAACATCTTTATTTGGTCACGCTCGGTATCTGCATCTAGCTTAAACCCGACTTGGAGTGCTCCACTGCCGAACTTGTTCATGGGACGGATTCCCAACGATTTTTCGGGCTATTCCAAAGCTTCGCCGATCTGTATGCAACTGATTATGCCCAACGGTTGCACCAAGCAATGGTTAATATCCCGGATATACCCCAGGCGTACCAGCAAGAAAGTCATATATTGATCCCAACTTGCTAACGTGTTCTTTTGCATTTGTCTGCGTAGATGGCGTTTGTCAGCTACTATAACGGCCCTACGACGGACCATCTCGAGTCATGTCGCGGACGAACAAGCATTTCAAGATCGTTCGTGGCTATCACACCGAAGTGATATCGATCGGTAAGTTGAAGGTGACCTGTATCGACCTTCCTTCGTCCACCCAAAGGATCCGATTTCTTCACACTCCACAATGCATTCCTCCATCTCCCCGACTCCGCTTCCACCTGACGACCCTCCGCACTCCCCTTCTCTCCTAATTCAACATCCTATATGCAGTGGTCGTCGGGTCGGTTTCCAACTTGTACATTATGCCCAATACTTGACTAATCCATACCTATTTTTCACGTCCGATTTCTGTTCTGCTGGGAGAGGGAGTATTGTAGTGACGCAAAAAAGCATTTTATTTTAATGCGTCAAGAAACTTTTACACCTTTCAGTATTAAGTTTTCGTCACGCCACATTCTTGCGGCTACTTTTTCTTTCTAATTCTGCTCGCGTTAGACCGGTTTATTACTTAGAGACTCTAACGCGCCATCCAAATGCGCCCTCCCCCACCTGCGGTCTTCTTGACTCTGTCTTGACACGGAGTTCCGGTGGCCGAGGAGGAGAGAGTTAGGTAGACGTTGTGAAAGTCTACTATCACTGTATACTAAATCACGCACAAGTCGCTGTCCCTGCTTTACCCTGCCGTGAAACACACGATTCTATTTTACTCCGCTCGGCAGCACGCATGAAACAAAATAAAAACGAACAGTATTCCAGGCCAGGCCAAACGTACATGTTATAAAGGCGCATTCTAATGTTTTTATGACCCGCCTGGTACTTGAAATCCCATGGAGCGTATACGCACTCGACCCTTGTCGCAATACCAATGCGGCAGAGGAGGAGGATGCGACCGGCCCAAAAATGTGCATTAGGAAATTGCAAGTCAAAATTAACTGGAAGTAACGCATATTTATAACGCTCTACTGTGCTTCGCCGGCGTTCGGCCCAATGCCCTTCGGAAAGAACATTCCAGGCGAGCCGGTGGATAATTCGAATATGCAGATCGATCAGGCTCGAGAGGAAAAGCCAATGGAGAGGCACCACGACTAAGATGACAGCGCAGTAGAGAAAACGCACGTGGCCTCCAGTGATTCGCTGGTTCTTGTTTTTGGGAGTGTAGGCACCCTTTACAAATGTCGCTAGTTCCAAAGTTTCGGGGAATAAACCCGGTCGTTCTACGTGCTTTGCTGACTATCAGGGTGCAGTGCTCCGAAAGAATGAGTCTCTTGGATTGAGTCGCCAGGCTAGCTCATTCGGTAGAGCACGAGACTCTTAAGCTCGGGGTCGTGGGTTCGAGCCCCGCGTAGGGCGTACATTTTTAAACTGTCATTGAGAACAGGAAGGCTGCCATCACAGTGGAAGACAGTTAACTTCGTTCCCTTATATAAGGGAAGAAGCAGGATGGCAGCAAACAGCTTCAGATTTTTTAACTTAACTTGCCTCCCATGCAAAACGATGGAAGCTCTAGTAAAGGGTGCTATACAGCAATTTTGTGAAGAAAATAGCATCTTGCAGGATCTTGAACATGGCTTCCGGAGAGAACCTTCCTGCCTCCCAAATCTAATAGTTTGTATGGAAATCTGGACCAGGGCTCTAGAAGAGGTATTTGAGGTCGATTTCGTGTACATCGATTTCCGCCAAGCTTTCGTTACTGTTCCGCACCAACGCCTTCTTCACAAACTGAGCGCCATCGGCATCCGGGGAGATCTTCTGAACTGGATTAGGGCGTTTCTGGCTGGTCGGAAGCAATGCGTCTGTATCGGAGATGATATGTCAGGATGGGTGAATGTGACCAGTGGCGTGCCTCAAGGCTCAGTTCTGGGACCATTGCTCTTCATCCTTTATGCTAATGGCAGCCTTAAGGAACTCGACTGCGGCAAAATAATGTTTGCAAGCGACGTTAAGCTCTGCCAAGTCATTAAGGGTCCGAATGATCAGGGATCCCTCCTAGATAATCTGCACCGACTGCAAACGTGATCGGAGAAATGGCTTCTAGATTTCAATGGGTAGAAATGTGCCGTCCTTCATCTGCGTCCAACCAACTCTCATTCAAATGAGAGCCCGAGGACATATTACCTGAATGGTATTAGACTCCCCGCAGCATCTTCACAGAAGGATCTCGGGGTTTGGATACAGAACAACCTGAAACCAACACTGCAGTGCTACAGGGCTGCAAAAAACGCCACAGGAGTGCTCCATGCAACCAAATGGGCGTTCGTAACCTTCGACAAAGACCTTTTTGGGAGAGTTTACGGCACCTTTGTTTGGCCCCACTTAGAATGTGGCCTACTAGCATGGCGGCCATAGCTAGTAGCTTACCTCAAACAGGTACAACGTTGTGCAACAAAGCTAGTAAACGGTCTAAAAGGCCAATCCTACATAGACCGGCTGAATTGCTTTAATTTATTTCCTCTGTGTTACAGGCAGCAAAGAGGTGATCTTATCCTCGTCTACAAGATAATACATGGCATTGAGCATGGACTTAGCTCTGAGGACATGTTTCAGTGGCACCTTTCTCCCAATCTTCGTAGTTACTCGATGAAGTTACGGAAAACAATGTCCAGGCTGAATCTTCGTTCTGAATTTTTCACGCAGAGGGTAGTGTAGGAATAGAACGATCTCCCTTAGTCGGTCGTGGAGGCGACGTCTCTGCAATTCTTCAAGAAACGACTGAATGGTTCTTTATGTCCCCTGTTTTCCCTCGACAGTTTAAATCTGAATTTAATACCCCACGACCCCGCAACATTTTTCTCTGAGACAATGCTATTCAAATGAATCAAGCACTGTTTTAGTAGCGAATATTTTCATTGTTCGTGAACGATTATGTCTAACGAGCTGACATGTAATGAATGCGGTTTTCAAAGGCTTGGCCTATTATCCTTACCAAATAAACTGAAATAAATCGAAATGATACACCCAGATCCTTAATAACCCCAGACACATTTATGGCGTGACCTTCAATACTGAGTTTAGGTTGGTGGTCGTCTCCAACCACCATGACTGAGTACTTATGCCAAGAAAGAGAAATGCGCCATGTGCGGTACTCTGGGCAAATGCCTGCAAGTCGCCCTTTAGGAGCACAAGCACGATGTCACGATCTGCCGGCTTATTTCGATATGCAACTTTCCGATCATCAGCATACATGAAGGGCTTATCATTCTGAAATAAATCTGGTTCATCGTTAACAAAAAGGCAAAATAAAAGCGGGCCGAGTACACTACCCTTAATGACTCCACTCTTCACACATGTGGAGTTGGAGATAGCATCGAAAGTCTTAACTCGTTCTGTACGAGCGCCCAAGTAAGAAGATATAAAATTCAAACGTTCGCCACCTATTCCGAAAGAGGACAGTTTCAAGGGAAGAAGGACATGGTCAACACGATCAAAAGCCTTAGTGAAGTCGAAATATACTAGATTAGGTGCAAAAACATTGTCCCTAGATTGGAGAACATGGTCAAAGAAAAAGATCTGACATACGTGACAAGACCGGGCTTTAAGGAATTCATGCTGTGCAGCGCTCAGTAGGTTACTATCTGTTGAGTGACAGACCATCAATGTCTCTTAGATCTTCGGAACTGCCGGGAGGGTGTTTATTGACCAAAAGTCATTGAATCACGTAGGTTGGCCATGCTTGGGAATGGGAAAAATGTGCGATCCTTCCACAAAGTAGGATAAGTTTCACTTTGAAGAGCACGATTAAATATCTTGTATAGGAGGGATGGCAAAATTGCATTTGCCTCGGCTTTTAGAATGCTTACTGGGACACCATGAGGTCCAGGGCTATGAGATTGACGAAGACGACTAATCGCAACAGTCACATCCGGCAGGGTGAAAGTTATCGTTTCAAGAACTGCCCCGGTCAATGCCTGGATGGTCTGAAACGGAGTGGTTGAGTTCTTAATAAACGTCTTGTACAGGAGAGCGTTAAAACTACCAGCCGTTAAATGAGCATCAACTATAGGATTCCCGAGAGCGTCTTGGAGGGTGGGATGCTGCGTCTTTCTGTGAGTTCGTACTTTTTAGGAGAAAAGTTTTGAGAAATTTGACAAACGGTTTTCAGTTAATTGTACCTCATCGGCTAGCTGTTTTTCTTCGGACAATCACTTAGCCCGCTCACAAATTTAACAAGTCAAGAGCAGAACGAAAACGTCGTTCTGAAGTTGGAATCGACGAGAAAGTCTGCGCAACTTGCGACGAAAGGGTAAGGGTAGGAAGACCTCATCCCCGACATTAATTATTTTCTTACGGGGGACAAAATGAGAAATAAGTGGATCCAGAATTTCGTACAGTTTAACAGTGCAAACATTTACATCCGAACTAAGGAAGAAAACAGTCCAATCGCAGGAGTTAAGGTGTGTTAATGATTCGGTCGAGCGATCTGATCGGAACTCGCGGAAAAGGCTATACTTTGCGAACAACGTTTTTTCAGTCACGAGTTCTAACTATGAAACAACTAAGTCATGGTCTGAGCTCCCGATGTGGCCTAGGAATGACATTGACGAAGGCATGCAGCCTCTACAGGAAATTTGTTTGAATATGCTTGATTCTCTGATGGGAAAATCGACAATTTGAATCCACATCACAACATCCACAGCCTCAAGGAAGTCTTTGAACATTCTAGGACCGGAAGGCGGAAACCAGCGGACTTCAGGAAGATTAAAGTCACCCACAACCAATTGATAATTAAAGCCTAAGTCGGCCACAGCATAAAACGGCTGTAAGAGTAAACGATCAAAATTGTCGTTGGCGTTGGGAGGGCGATAGACACAGCCAATGAGGAAACAGGACTTATTTTTAAGTGCAACCTGGATCCAGCAGCTGCCTTCTACCGCGGAAAAATGCGGGAGGTTCAGCGGCAAAAATGTAACCGCAAAAATGAAAACCGCTGGTTTTAAATTTGAAGATAAGTGGAGGATATTATTTTAAGTGGTTTTTCTGTGAGACCTAACGATTTTAGTACCTGTTTTTTTGGTTAAATTTCCTTAAATACAGGCCTCTTCTCTTAGAACTGCCTGCTGCCATCTCCTTTTAAGTTCTGCTAGTCTATACCCGTTGTTCACTAATCGCACTCTGCAATTCTCATTTTGTGCATCCGATTTCTCTCTAACTGTTGTAATTTATTTTTACACCGTTAGCCCCTAGCTGAAATTCAGTCAGCTTGTCTGCCGGAAGTTTTCTTAATCACAACTTGACTCGAGACAAGATGAGACCAAAAGTCACTGGTCGACGTAAGCTCTCGGCTCTTGCAAGTAAGCATGGCCTAACTAAACGTAAGTCAGAAGCTTTACCTAAATCTAAGTCAGATGATATTACTAGTCAGTCGTCACCCGTTGTAATTGGTCGGCAGCTTGATCTGTCTGCACTTGACCACTGCAATGACTTTATGCTAAAGTTTGGCTCTTTGCTGACAATTCTTGGACATATATTCGACGGGAACATCTCCGATATTCCCTCTGAAGAATGTAGGCGTCTCGACTCACTTGTTCACCTGATCGCCAGTGAATCTAGTGATAGACAGAAGCGTTCTTACAACTTCCTGCTAAAAAATGTTCCTCGATCTGATCGGCCAATTGATGTTACGACCAATTTCCTGTATTCATGTGGTTTCGACTACAAAATAGCCGATGCCAAACGCTTGTCCTCTCGTAGAAAAAATTCACCCATCTTAGTCAAATTGTTTTCATCAATCGAGGTTGGCACAATCTTTACCCATCGAGAGCGTGTCACTGCGTACCTAGAAAAGGCAAAATATTTCCTTTGTCATGAACTTACTCGTATACAGCGTAGAATGGGGTCTCTATTCTCACGTAAACCCACTGCTTCTCAGTCTTATGCTCCCCAACTCGGTCATAATACAAGTGGCCATAAGGATTCAGCTTCTCCTACTCCTGCGACATCTGACTCCCTCCTTCCTCCTTCTCGTACATCTCCATCTCACTCAAGCCACTTGACGCATTTGCCTGCCCCTAAACTTGCAGCAGCAGCAGCGGCAGCAGCAGCAGCAGCAGCAGCAGCAGCAGCAGCAGCAGCAGCAGCAGCAGCAGCAGCAGCAGCAGCAGCAGCAGCAGCAGCAGCAGCAGCAGCAGCAGCAACAGCAGCAGCAGCCCATTTGTGGTTTCGTATCCTCCGGATAGTCCCGCTGAGACACATGAAAATCCGTCTACATCAGCTAGACCGACAACTTCTGTTGTCCAACTGGGTGCTGTAAGGTCTACAGTTAAGTCACTAGTGGCTCGGCGTCAGAACGGTGAGACTCGAAAATTGAATCAGACTCCGACCCAAAAGATAGGTAGTACAGTTCCATTTAGGGGTACGACGCCTTCTCTTAGATCTAACATGCCTCTTCAGCCCAGCACGTCTACAAACCCCGCAGCTAAAATTCTATCCCCGAATAATTCTCTGTCCTGCGTACCGGTTACTTATCAAAGCCCTACTATATATCCAGCAAATAATTCATACATGAATTGCCCTAAATCATTTATGCCCCAACCTATTTCAGGCTTCCCACCACTTAAGGCCAATTGCTCTCAGGTACGTCAACCTATCTCCTTTGACTTCCAACCTAGACCTGGTTTCCCACCCTTTCATTCTTATAGCGGCCTACCCTCACCCACTAGCCCCTACTTTCCTTCTAGCCTCCCTCCTCCTCCCCGTCCTCCACTATTTAACTACCAACAAGTCTATCCATGTTCTAACTCCCCTAGCATTCCAATGTTTGAAAACTATATCCCCACATCCTTTAGGTCTCATACTCAGCCTTCTCTTGCTGATTCCCCGTACGTCAATAACTCTAGATTAACTGGTACTTATTCTTCAAGTGGCATTAATTCACAGCTTACATATCCACCTCCAAATTTTTTAAAATACCGTCGAAAATAGCATTGCCGTTCAAAACACATTAGATATTATATTATTGAATGCCAGGTCTGTTATAAACAAGATGACCCAAATCAGAGCCATTGCTCTGGAAATGACGACTGATATTATATGTGTAACAGAATCTTGGACCCATTCTCTAATTCCTGACTCTGTCCTTCTCATAGATGACTTCGATTTTTACCGCCAAGACCGCACGACTAGGCGTGGGGGGTGGTTGTCTTCTTTATCTTAAATCCTACCTAAAGCACTCTTCCTATTACTTGGATGTTTCCTCATTCACGGGAAACTTCTGCTTTGCATCTGTTATTCTCTCGCCGCAAAGAAAGGCAATTATTGGCTGTATCTACAATCCCCCAAATTCTTTAGCCAGTGATGATTCACAACTCTGTGAAATCTTTAAATCAATTTCGGAAGCTGCTTTCGATGTTAAAATAATCACTGGGGATTTTAACCTTCCTGAAATTGACTGGGTATCCAAAAGCTGCCCACCCAGATTCCAGCCCTTTCAAGGTATTATCAATTTTTCTAATGGGTCCCAACTGGTGCGCTATCCAACAAGAGATAATCACATTTTAGATCTAATCTTTACCAGTGACATTGCTCCTCTTTCCGTTGCTTTAAAAAAGGACCTCTTTGACAGTGACCACGTATTAATTCATTGTTGCTTACCGCTTGTCTTTTCAAAAAAGACAAGCGCCGTTCGGACTTACATGCACTACGACTGCGTAAAAAGCGACTTAATAAATAACTATATGAGATCCTTGGATTGGTGTGGCTTCCTCACTTGTAGCGATGCAACCATTCTTCGTGATGTCATGTCCAATGTTTCCAAGGACATTCTAGAGTTAGTGGCGCGTAGATATCTCAAGCCTAATTCTTCAGATTCCCTTGTTCCTCATTTTCTTCAGAACAGACTAAAAAAGCTGAGGCGACAACTGCATGACCCATCCACTAGTTTCTTATCAGTTTATCTTAGAATCACAGAGATTTTTGAGATGGCCTCAAGGGTGCGCCAAGCGCGCGACAGGCAAAGAGAATCAATTGCTCTCAGTGGTTCGAACCCTGACAAATCCGTCGCTAGCATCTTCCGTCATCGGTCCTCCTTTAAGCGTGATCACGAACTTCCACCCCTGCTAAATGATAACAAAGTCTTCCTCACCGATGACACTGACAAAGCGGAGTTGTTTAGTGCTTTCTTTGCAAAACACCTTGCTACCGAGTCTGATCCGGTCCCTTTCTTTCGATCACTTTCAGATAGGACGCTTAGTGCAACTGATGTCTCCTCAGATCTCTTTAAGAAACACATAAGCCGTTTGAAATACTCACTCTGCTCAGGAACGGACGGGATTCCGAATTCGATTATTAAACAAGCGTCCGACCTTCCCATATTGCTCTGTCATTTATTCTCGGTTTATATTTCAAAAGGATTCTTTCCTGAAACATGGAAAACGTCAATTATCATTCCCGTCTTCAAGTCAGGATCTCGGTCCGATGTTAATAACTATCGGGGCGTGCACAAAACTCTGTCTCTAGCAAAACTTCTTGAAAGGATTATTTTCAATGATATTCTTGACTTCTGTCTAGCTAATCGGCTTCTGAGCTCTAGTCAGCATGGATTTTTACCTGAACGATCCTGCGAAACATGTCATTTGGCTTTTCTTAATCTAACCACTTCTCTTCGTAATGAGCGACAGTCAGTGGTAGTTATTTACTTTGATCTTAGCAAAGCCTTTAACAAGGTGCCCCATAGACGTCTTTTAGTAAAATTGGAAGCTCTCGCCATCCGGCCGCCTCCGCTCGACTTCATCAGGTCCTATCTGTCCAACCGATATCAGAAAGTCATGGTCGGTAATAGCTACTCGACACCCCTCTCGATCACGAGTGGCGTACTTCAAGGCACGGTTCTGGGTCCGCTACACTTTCTTCTTTACGTCCATGATATTTCGACTGAACTCGGAAATTCACAAACCTTTATTTATGCCGATGACCTCAAGTGTGTTTACTTATAATCTTAGAACACCGCAAACGTTTGTGTTGAAAAAATTAATGCCGATTTACTACGCTTAAGCAGATGGGGTTCGACCTGGCAGATGGAGTTTTCGTCATCCAAGTGTACTTTCTTGTCTATTGGCCATGCGGATCTTCCTGGTCCCATATTTTTTCAGAATAACCCACTCTCAGAATGCCTCACCATAAAGGACCTAGGTATAAGTTATACAAATAAGCTCGCTTTATCACCTCTTGCAGATAGAATCTCTGATAAAGCCGCGCAGATATGTGGATTCATATCGCATAATGTTTTCCTTCCGGAAATGAAGCTAAGACTTTATCAAATGTTTGTTCTTCCAGTCCGCGAGTACTGCTGTCCTTTCTTCGGTTTAATGAACGCCTGCAACCGTAATAAAATCGAAAATGTTCAGAGGCTTTTCACCCGGAAACTGTTCTCTCAAGCTTCGTCCGGTATTTATTATACTCAGAGATGTCAGTTGGCGAACATTAAGTTTTTGTGGGTTAGAAGACTCGAAGCTGGCTTTTGCTGCCTTTTTCACATCAACTCTAGCTCCAGTCTTCCTCTCATTGACACTCTCACTCCGAGAGATCGGTCTTATGCCACACGCAACTCCTGCATTGTGATTCCGCCGCCTCTTTGTACTACATCCAAGCGCTCCCTCTTCTTTGCTTCCAAATATGCCTTCCTTTGGAATAATCTTCCGCCTGAAATTAGATTATCGCCTAAGATACTGGTATTCAAGTCGAAATTACGCAAACATCTTATACCGGAAAGCATAAAGGCACTGTTAACGGTCTCATTCCCGAACACTCCGATTCTTGACTTCGAGAAGGGTCCTTGTGGGATTTAGTGGTAGATTAAGTGGTAACTCTTAATTATTTCATCAGAAACCCCTGTTTTGAATTGGTTTCTAAGTCCACCGCTATCACTCCCCCCCATAGCGAAAATTTTCGCGGTTTTTAATGTCATCTCCCGCATTCCGACCTCATGCGGTCTGTCGACGCTCAGGGCGGAACCCTCAGTCTTCACTGTTTACTAGTAGTTTGGTCGTATCTCCCTTTGCTACTGCCCGGCTGAGCTCGAAGCGTGCTGTGGCCGATCGCATCTGGGTTCCTCTCGTCTGGCCTCTTTGACGCGAATAGTCTCATGCGGCGTATCAATCCGGCCCAGACGATCTCAATTGTGAATCCCGTATACAATGCCATATGCAAGCCAGTCCTGTCTGACCCATATTCGTACCCCTCAAGGCTGAGGTTTATTGCTACCCTGACGATGACCGACAACATTCCGTTATATACCGCCACCTACAGGCCAGTCCTGCTCCCTTTTTTCTGCCATTATCTTTATTGAGGTTTTTTTCTTCCGTAAAATTAATCCAATCATTTTTAACTTTTTGTAAGGAGTTTTTTTCACCCCTCAATCATCATGTTCCTCGATGGACTTCTAATTCAGAAACTATGAATTGCATTTTGTAAAGATTCGGCCTACCTCGTCTAAAACTCGCATGTAAATTTATTTTAACTTGCTTTGATGGGACTCCGACGGGTCTGTAATAAAAATTATCTATCTAAAAATTATCTATCTATTTACAACCTCTATGTCCGACCGAGCAATATTCATGCTAACGCGTTCTTGTGAGATGTTCTGATGTTTGTTTACTGGATAGAAGTGACTTCGTTGATGTTTGGTGTCAAGTGCATTCACTACAGGAGATGTTTGCTACGACTCTTTTCGGTGGACTACCTTTTTCGAATTGGAGGGCTGCAAATTGCCACCTTATCCTTAAAATTAAGTTGAACCTAGTTGGTCCTTAAAATATAAGTGCTCACAAAGATAATTTCATTGGACGGATTGTTTTCAATTCAGTCAAAACTCAAAGGACTACTTATTGTTGGTCGCCGACTGTATCATCCATTTTACTTCAAATCCGATAGTGCCCTAGTTTAACCGCGTAAACTGACCTTGACATCAAACATCTATTGCCTCGTTTTCTTCATTGTATCGTCCACGGATGCCCACCTTTGATTTCGCCTAAATGATCCATAAAGTACCCACTATAACTGCGAGGACATAAGAAGAACGAAAAACTTGGAGAGGTTGGAATAACCCATCTGATAAAAATAGCCGTTGTTTGATGCATTCACTCAGTTAGAAAATATTCACTGCGACACTACTAACAAAGTTGGATAACTAGCTGTTGTCATCACTAGGGAGCTGGACGTCAAAATTCCTCAACCGTTGACG